TGCGGGAGAAGACATTCCAAAGCTCCGGCCCTGTCCAGAGCGCGGGGCCGGCAGCGCAGGGGAAGCCTCTTGGCAGCAGCTCTGCACAAACACGGGCTCCCCCGAGGGCGGCCCGTTTACAAAAAGAAACTCAAAAACCAAATTTTATTTATATATATACACACACTATATATAAAAAAATACTTGCTCTGTTGTTTGCAAGGGGGAATGCTTTCAATTTTAGGCTTGACAGGAAAGCAAAGCATCCTTCCTTTGAATCCAGCACCATTCACTTGTATCGTGCTTACAAGTTATCCTAAAAAGAAATTCTACACAAGAAAAGCTTTGAGTATCTCCCTTTCTGCCAATGTACTGTGCTACTTCTTTAATCTGTTCCAAATCCAGGAGAATTCCTAGTGTCCTGGAGAGGCAGCAGAACACCCAGAGGTGTGTATAAGGCTTACAGTACCGAACTGTAAACATTTTTGTTTCGATGTCCTGTATATGTATGTAGTAGTTTGGGTGTGTATATACAGTAGCGTTTCAAAGTGGGTGTATTGGTTAACCTATTCTTGGAAAATGGACAAATATCCATGTTAAACTTGTTAGAAAGTTAGTGAGCTGCTCTGCTATATGCCTTAAGCAAATATTTACTCATCAGGTCTTTCTTTTTTACAGATTGCCATAGAATAAACTTTTTTAAAAAAATAAAAAACAAAAAAGCTAAATGTTTTGGTATAATACATTTTCAGGTATCTTGTCTTTTGTGTAAGCCACTGCAAAGACCTCACAGGTTATAGTAAAACTGTACAGTTTTTCAAATTCCCATACAAGTTTTCAGTTCTCATTTTAGTTGTAACAATAAAATTCTTTTTTTTAAAGAACGTTCGTGTGAGTCTTACCGCTTCTTGTCTGCTCAGAGCCCGGGACACCGGCTCCTGCTTTGGATCACTTGCACATCTGGGCTAACACAGCTTTATTTTTTCACTGGAAAACGTTTTAAATAATGACTTTTTTGTAGGTCAGATCTCTGCTAGAAGAAGGTGAGTGCGGTGAGTGTCCTCCCATATCCCCCACTTGGGATAACGACGCAGTTCCCCAGCCTGGGCTGGGAGTTTGTAGTGCCCAAACCACAGTGCCACGGGCTTGGTCTAAGGTTTTTGTCCCCTTACATGCAGCTGTGGTTGGTGGAAGGTACCACAGGATCAGGTAACCTGCCCAGCTGTACGGCAGGAGGGGCAGCTATCACACCCCCACCGTGCATTAAGGTATTTACCTTCATTTATATTTTTAAAGAAACTTACCAAGGGGGAAGAGCTGCAGGGAGAGGATTTCCCTTAATTTCCTGCAGCAGCAGGAGGGCAGCTGAGCTGGGTTTCCATGCACTGCCCTTGGGCACTCTCAGGACCTCGAGTTAGTGGCCTAGCTCAGAGTGCAGCATGACCACGTGGGCTGTGCTGTCCCTGTCACAGGCACTTCCCTTGCTCTGGAACAGGAACAAGAACAGGGGATTCACTAAAGCAGCAGCATTAGAGCAGCCCCCTCCTGAGTTTACTTACTGGAATAATAACAACACGTGAGCTGAAGAGGCCGGTCCTGCTGTTCAGAGCTGCTTAGCAGGGAGCTGCAGCCCCAGCTCTGGAACCAGAAGCAGCCGCAGGGCCAGGGGGGCCTCGGATCCAGCCCCTCTGCTGCAGGGCAGCACGGGCAAGCACGGGCAGGAACGCGTCTCAAATGCTTTATTACAGTTACAGAAAACAGTATGAAATCCCACAAATAAATACTGAATAGAAAAGCACTATTTATATATTATATATACACACAAGTCAAACCCTTTCAAGTATTTCACCTGAAGTTAGACTTCTCTTTGGGGCCACCCTCCGCTACAGGCACCGAGCGCTGAGTAAGGAGCGTGACACCAGGCACGTGACGTTGAGAAATCCCGACCGATGACTACATGGATAAAGTGTACATTAAAAAAGGCAAAAAC